TGAGAAGCCGTCCTCAGGTAGGATATGATCAGCCTGCCTCTCTCTGAGGACAGCAAGGGAGCCGAAAATGTCACTTCCCTGAAGCAGTCACTTCCCCGATGACAGCTAGCAGAGGTGGCTCTGGGGCTGCTCTCAGCAGAAGTTCTGGAAAACTAGTGGTTGATGGACTTTGTATTGCAAATTGTGTTTCCCACGTCTCCCTGTCCAGGCTTGGCTTAGTAAAGACACGCACACCAAAATAAGCCCCCTCTCAGACCTGTGTGCACTGCATATACAGCATTTGTTTAGTGAACAGAATTCCCCTGGCATCAGGAGAAGTTTTAGCACAGAATGAGCCTGGCGCTCCATAAGCATCACAAGAGAAACACAGTAGGTAACCAAGGCGAGAAATCCAATCCTTGCATCTCTCTTATCCACGTGGTGAAAGAATTTATAATAAACTGGGTTAAAAAATACCTTGTAAAATATTAACTAGTGGTGGTGCAGCTGCTTCTCCTAATAGCTTTTGAACGTGTCTGCCAAATTCAACCTTGACAGAGGGATCGTGTTTAGTGATGAATTTTGTGTGAAGAGGCAGCATGCAGAAGAGATTGTTGGCACTTTCACTGGCACTGAAGGGCTCCAGCTTTAGCCCAGACGTCTAGTTAAAAACTAGACAATCCACATGAACAAGATAGTCTGTGAACACTCAAAATGTGTGAAAGATTCATCCAGAGCTCAGGCAAAAGAAACTGCTCTTTAATCAATGGTTCTCCCCCAGGTGAGTTCTCTGATGCCTAATACAAGATGAACTCATCCTGCAGCCTTGGTTTCACTGAAGTGAGAATCACAGGGCAGCCGCCCAAGGAAACCAGGCTGCACAGTTCTGGGGCCTCTGAAATTGCTTGTCTTACCCTGCCATAGCCAACAGTGTGAGAGGCTCTTCTTTTCCCATACTGTGTGCTTGATCATGTTGTCTCACCATGCAAAACATTAGTATATAATGATGGGAGTTTTACCCGAAAATTAATCCCAGGACTTGGTCCTGTGATTCTTTTTAGAACCTTTAAATGATATTGGAGTCTTTCTCCCTAATCTTTCAATATCTCAACTTCAGAAACCCTGTAAACATTCAGAGCCATTTCTAGCAGGTCAACTTCTAGCAGTAGTCCTAGTCAATGGGCAGTGGTAAGCAGTGCAGTGGTTTTCAAGTGGGATTAGAGGTGTGTCCACATGTCAGTGTTTGGCTTTAGACTGGAAAGTTTCGTGGCATTGGATCCAGATTTTGGGTTGTCCCATTAGATCTATAGGACCCAACGTGAAACCTGGAGCTAAACTCCAAGTGTTTAGGAATTGAAACCTGGGAATTTGATGCTAGCTGGATCCAAGATGTGTTATCAGTCACTTAAGTTTCCTGGTAATTGTCCTTTTGTTGCCGTTGCTTTTAAAGTGCAGGTATTTCAAGGTGTAGTGGTCATTCTGCAGCATGCATGCAAATGGCCTAGAAGCAAAGTCTTTATTATAACCTTATGATTATAATACAACAATAGCCTAAAATGTGTTTTCTAATCCCAGGAGAGGACCAACCTAAGTTATCTTTCTCCAGGACCTAACCAAACATCATCAGCTGCTCCTCTGCTCTAAATAAGCCGTGATCTACTTCTGAGCTCTGAGGTAACATGTTGCTTGCTTTCATTTTTTGTTCTCCCTGGACTGCAGCTCAATATCAAAAACACCAAATAAGCCTCATCTAAAAAGGCCATACTTTTTACATGTGTCCCAGGGTTTAATTTCTGTTCCCACAGAAATCCAGCAGTAAAACTCCTTCTCAAATAAACAGAAGCATAAGCAGACCCAGGAAATACCTCTCATGCCTCCACCCAACTTGCTGACTTAGTTTTCCATGCCGCAATTTTACACAACTTATAAACTCCATTGACTTTCACAGCCTTTGGACCGGAACCACTACAGAAATAAAAAATATCCATACACAGATTAATGTCTTTTGAAAAAAAATATTTTTTTCTCAGATTGCACATTCAAAACTTGAACTGCACACTGCACAGTATAGGAACAGTAGTTTGCCAATCCAATTGCCACCATGCCGGTGTGTTTTGATTCGTTCAGCTGTAGCCCCAACTCAGTCAGCACCAGGAGATGGACCCCAGGTGTAATTACAGTCAGTGGTCAAGACATGTGTCCTGGGCTGTAAAATGTTCTCAGTCTACACTGGAAACGTCCCGTCAGAGGGAGGTTTGGACAAAGCCTTCAGGTAGATTGCAGTAGACGTTGAAGGAAAAACTGCTGTTCCAGTTAGAGACTGTGTCTGCTCATTTGCTCACCACATTCTGCCTTCTTTCCGCTGTTTCCCAGCTCTCCCCATTTTCCCTCTGCTAAATGGACCAAGCAGTGAACTTCAACCACAGTGCGATGCTGCGGGGAGCAAGAGCCCTCACATCTGTGCTGGCAGTCTTTGTCTGCAGCCCCAAAGGCTAAAAAAAGATGAAATGTTGGCTATGCTGGAGTCACTGCAGGTTTTATCCCAACTCCAGTGCTGCCAGGGAGCAAGGGAAGTTTTGTGCAGGCTGGATTAGGGCCACTGGGCATCTCTTTCCTAGGTCTTTGCAGCTACAAGGGCACACATGGACCACTGCAGTATGAACAACACACGAAGAAGACTGTTTTTTACCAAGGACCTTGTCCGGTGTTACAGCAGGATTGGTTTCACTGTTCAAACCGATTGCTGTTTTGAGGACAAGCGTGAGGAGACAAGACTCCTAGCTGGAAACAGTAACACAGCCTGTCCTTCCCACAGCTACCGATATTTTTAGATTTTGGTGTTAATTAGTGCTTTTCATCAACAGACCACTCAAATAAATAAATAAATAAATAATAAAATAGTACTTTGTGCTTTGTTAGCATCATTTGTCCAAAGTCTTCGAAGCGTTTTGCCAAGCCAAGTGTTACTATTTCCTGCGAGTCCCAGCAATCCCGAGAGCCTGACCCTGCTTCCGTTTATATCAGTAGCAGCAAGCCCAGCCCCTGAGGACTTGCCTGGCGTTACACAGCGAGCCAATGACTGATGAAGCAAACATCACTCAGATGCCCTAATTCCTACTTTCATGCTGCCTGCCCTCAACAGCACCAATTGTAGCGTGATTCAAAGAAGAGCAAGTTCCATCAAAATAAAATAAAATCCCTATTTGCTTCATTTTCAACACTGTTTGTATAATGTCTCCAGCCTTGCAGGGCACCAGGGTGTGCTTGGCCTACTGTTGTTGCTGTTCATTTAACACCTTCCTTAAGGCCTTCCAATAGGTTTTTGACCTGCTGTCACCTCCTGGGAAATTCTGGTAAGCAATCTATGCACGCAGGACTGCATGTCCGTGACATACGTCAACGCTCTTCTGGTTTTCTCTTCTACTGTATTGTACGCCAGAGGCATCTGCAAGGAAACAAGATCCTGGCTGTTCTTGCTGCTTCTCCCCCATGCTCCAGGTCCGATGCCATCACCACAGCAACCCAGCACGGTGTCGGCACAGAGAGCTGGTGCTGCCCGGAACCAGAAAAAAACAGTGCCTGGTTTGGATGTGTGCTCGTAACTGCAACCCAGCAGAGAGTAAATGTGGAAACCTGGAGTAGAACACTGTCTTACCTGAACGCTGTGCACGGGGCGTAGGTAGGCTTTTCACATTTTGAGTGCATTAACTGCAGAAGGACTCAGTTCCCCCTAAACGGTATCGAGTTAGCGTTACAAAATAGCCGTGATCCTCATTTAAGACAATCTGTAATGTACCTTATTTTGTGCATCTACTCTTTCTTGTGCCCTATGTAAGAATACAACAGTTAGCACCAGTGGACAGATAAATGCTGCCCTGCTCAGTAGACGATGATAAGAGCTGGGTGAACATCTCATTGTATGCAGCTCATAGAACCATTAGGTTGGAAGGGACCTCTGGAGGACACCTGGTCCAACCTCCTGCTCAAGGCAGGCCAAATTGGATAAGGTCGCTGAGGGTCTCCTCGCGTCTTGAGAATTCCCCAGGGTGGCGATTTCTCTATGCAATCTGTTTGCAGATTTCCATTTACAAGTGATCCACATGTTTGCCACAAAGGCCAGCTGCCACAGGTTCATTCATTTTTATATCTTAATGAACAAGTGGGTTGTGTGGGTGCCTGTCAGTTTGTGGATTCCCACAAACTTCTCTCCTTCTCCCCCTCCTCTGAAAGAAAAGAAGAAATTGTACAGATGTTTGTAAGAGAAACTTTGAAAGGAGGAGGAGAGGTGAGGATACCTGGGAGGGACAACAGTTGCAAACAGCAAAAGTGAAATTGTGTTTGTGAGCGCTTTTAACAGCTTCTGCCCAGCTCTGATCATAACGTCTGCTTACATGGTGTTACAAAGTCTTGATCTGTGCTTTCTCTTGCTCGGTACCAGCAGCAGGCGGGGGGCACCCAGGGGCGTACGGCATTCTGTACTCCAGTCCTCCTCACCTTCGGCGTGGGAGTGCAGCGGCTTTGAAAATGCAGTCCCGTAACTTAAACCAAGCTGCCCGTCACCCAAGCCAGAATCAGCTGAGGTGGTTTTGGTTCTTAGTCAGTAGTCTCTAGTAGTCAGTAGTCTCTGTTGTCTGCATTTCCAACTGAAAAGAGCGCAGCTATAGTCAGCTCTGGTGTAAATAATCAACCAGTAACTCCCAGGCTTCAAGCAGACTTCTTCTGCAGCCCTCTCTGAGAAAATCCGTGTGCTCGTGGGATGGAGGACACAAAAACTCGCTTCCCCTCTGTAAAGATGACTGAGGTCAGTCCTTAAAACACGCCCAGAACAAAAACATATTTTAAAAAGGATGTGAAATAGCTGCCACGTTTTTGTGCGGTACCCTGCTCCCCCAAAATAATAAATCAGGGTGGTTGTTGGTTGTTGTTGCTTTTCAAATGTTAAATGTTAATGCGGAGGACCTTTCTGATGCATTATGATGGACAACCGGTGATGTAGCCCCACTCATCCATGACAAGATCTGTCACTTCTTATTCAGGTGGGCATGCAGTTCTGCTTCCAAGGCCATCTTGTCAAAGGTGCGCATGTTCGTCTCCTCCCGTACCTTTTCCCGGACGTGGAAGGATGCCCGAGCGACAGACCTGGCATTTTCTAAGACAGTCTTCTTCTCCTTGAAGATCTGCTCGCTCCTCTCCAGCTTCCTCTCGATAGAGAGGAGGATCTCCCTGCGCCGTAAGTCCTCGTACTGTTCCACCTTTTGCTTGTTCATCTTCTGCACTTTCTCTTTCTCCAGACGGCTCAAGACCACCTTGCGGGCTTTTTCTTGGACGACCTCTTCGGCCACCTGGGCAGCATGCTGGAGCCTTCTCTCTGTCTCTCGAGCCAGGGCCTCCAAGTGCTCCTTCTGCTCTCTTTCCTTCTTCTCTGCTGCCAGTTTGGCTCTCTGGATCTGCATGTCCTCCCGCCTGGCCTTCTCCCTCAGCTCCTGGTTCCTCTTCTCCACTAGCTGCTCATAGTTCTCCTGAGCCTTGGTCAAACTCATCTCCAGGGAGGCCTTCAGCATTTCCTTCTCTTCTGCCTCTTGCTTGGCCAGTTCCTTGAGCAAGGCCTCGTGCTTCAGCTTCTCTGCTTGGTTGAGCAGTTTCTTCTCCTTCTGCAGCTGCACCTCCTTCTTCAGCCTCTTCTGCGCGGCCGTGGACAGCTTCTCTTGCAGGAGCTGCTCCTCTCGCTCCCGGTGCTCCTTCTTGCCCTCCTCCTTCGCCTTCAGGTTCTGCTCTTGATGGAGCTTCTTCTGCTTGTCCTCCTGGACGGCCCTCTCCAGCCTCTCCCTCCGCAGCCGCTCCTGCTTCTCCGCTTGCTCCCGCCACCTCTCCTCGCACACCAGGCGCTGCCTCTGCTTCAGCAGGGCGGCCTCCTCCTGCTCCTGGCTCAGCCTCCCCCGCCGCTTCTCCACCTGGCTCTCCCACATCCGCTGGCCCTGCAGGAGGGCCCTCTGCTTCTCCTTCTCCTCCTGCTCCTTCCGCTGCTCCGCCAGGCGCCGCTGGCTGTCCCACTGCAGGTGGGCCGCCTGCCGCTGCTCCCGCAGGAGGCTGGCCTCCTGGTGCTTGGCGATCATCAGCGCCGCGATCTTCTTGTCCCTCTCGGGCACCTCCGACAGCCCCTTCTTCCTCTTCACCTCCCTGACGATCCTCTCCACCCTCTGGGCGGTCTGCGGCGAGTGGCTGAGGCCGCCCAGGCTGAAGCTGCGCCCCAGCAGGGAGCCGCTGGCGGCGGCGGCGGCGGCCCCCCGGCCCC